CTAGGTGGTTGAGTTTTAGCTCTAATTTTGAAAAGTTTACACTGTAAATTGCCTTTTTTTTGGTTCCTCAATTCCTGTGTTGGTTTCCAATACATGGGATTTCAGCCCTTTGAGGATTCCTGTGGGTCGCCTGCCTGCCTGCCTTGTGTCTGTTCTTGCACCCCCATACCTGATCTCTGGAGGCCCTTGAACCAAAAGGAGGCCCCCTTCCCTGTGTCCTGAGGAGTCCACTACTGCCTTGTGCATATTGGTCTATTTTGTGTTGTTAATTTGATATGTATCCTTCTTGTCTAAGTATATTTATTTTTTCTAGATATATTGCTAGCCCCTGAGGAAGCGACTGTCGTCACGAAACATGTCGGGCATTACCTACACCATCGGAATGTCCCTTACCCCTCTACAGGATTATTCTGTAAACCATTGATTGCCATCATTACGACTGTTTGGTGGGTCTTGGGATATTCACTATGGGTGAACTGTACAATAATATCTTATCAGATACCTTTTAGATATGATGTGATGTTGAATAAAGGAACATTGATTTTACTTTTTTTGTGTACCGAGCTTCTGTGCCTAGAAAGTCCAATTTTCACATTTTCTTCTATAAATACACTGTAAAGTGAATATATTCCAAACATAGCCCTGGTTTTTACAGTAATGGTCAGAGACACAGGGTAACCCTGACTTACTTGACCATCACACTGGACTGTATATCAAGTCAAGGCTTTGCCTGTCACAGTGGGCATACCCCCCAGAGGGGTGTTCAGAGTTCTATAGCAGCAGACTACAGCCCTGGACCCGTAAAGCACTCTGTAGTTGACTACAACGCATTGCACTAAGTGAAAGGGGAGATCTCGCACAGGATCCAGTGCATGAAACAGCATTAAGGCCATTCCCACATCATGGGGTCTGGGTATGGCTCACAATGTTGCACCAATTTGGACGGGCTGCTTCTGGTTCTGGGGCCAAATATAAAATTTTGGATTTCACATCATCCTCCGTCCCAATGACAATGAACAAGGTGAACTTTCCTAGCAGAGATACAGATGGCAGTAAAAACCTGACAAGGGTTTTAATCATTCCCTACTCTATCAAAAAAAGAATAAATGTTTGGGTATAGATACACCTAATAAAGCACACAGTGAGTTCATTTATAATCTGTCAACAAATCTTTACATACAGAAGAATTCTTCTGTCTAAAGGAGACTCTAGTTGTCAACTATGGAGATTCATTCAAATCAGCCTTTGTCTGGTACAGTGTGTATAGTCAAGCAGGTACAGTATATATTTGGATGAAATCTACGCAAAGCAAATCTATCCTATTCAACATGCCTGGATTTGCTGGAAGATCGTCACTTATTTTATTTATTACAAGTACTTGTATAGCGCCATAAATTTATTCAGCGCTTTACAAATATATTGAACATTCACATCAGTCCCTAACCCTCAAGGGGTGTACAATCTAAGGTCCCTAACTTACATTCATACATACACATACTAGGGCCAATTTAGACAGGAGCCAAATAACCTACCAGCATGTCTTTGGAGTGTGGGAGGAAACCCATGAAGGCACAGGGAGAACATGCAAACTCCAGGCAGGTGGTGCCGTCACTTGGCTCATCTCTACTAATGTTCAGGTTACAGCTTTACCTAAAATCTGAACAACTTTTCAGGTTTTCAGTCGTATGAAGGAGGACAATTTCTGCTTTATGAGAAGAACATGTTTGATACATACCATCAAGTTCCTGATCAAGCTTCAATTTCTTTGCACCAGAGCTTTCAGAACTGCTAAAAAGGCAAAATAAGAGATTGTTATATAGTGAATTTTATGATTAGCTAGAATATAAGCCAGAGTCTGAAGGAAGTTTTAAATGCACTACAATGGTTTTTGTGATGCATTTACTCCCGGCTAACAATACAGAATTAAAGAACTTGAACTCTCTCTTAAAGTGTTACTAAACCCACAAAAGTAAAATCAGTCTGTATATGCAGTAAAGCATGCTTTTTATACTCACTGTGGAACCTAAGGAGTTAATCCTCTGCATTGTGTAAAAACACAGTTTGATCCTGTCTTCTCTGATCCTCCCCTTCTTCCAATGTCCCCCTCTTATCTCCTGGGAAGACATCTCGTGTGGTGTCACTCTGCACATGTTCAGTTTGGTGTGTATTGCTAGAGAGGTTTCTTTTTTTTTTTCTTGGGAGGGTGCATATGATCAGCACAGGGCCAATCAGCACAGTCCAGACAGATGTTAGGTGTTCTGCATCCTCCTAGAGCAGAAAGAAAACTCCTCCTACAAGCTTTACCAGTGCTCTGCTAAACACTGATAGAAGTCACAAGACTGCTTTAACTACTGATGAGAAACGGTATTTAGCAGTTTATATTTACTAAAATAATTGCATTTCCATGTTCTGTGTATTGTGGGAGACCAGATATAGTGAATGCAGGGTCCGAGGAGAGCGGATATAGTGAATGCAGGGTCCGGGAGACCAGATATAATGAATGCAGGGTCCGGGGAGATCAGATATAATGAATGCAGGGTTCTGGGAGACCAGATATAGTGAATGCAGGGTCCGGGGAGACCGGATATAGTGAATGCAGGGTCCTGGGAGACCAGATATAGTGAATGCAGGGTCCAGGGAGACCAGATATAATGAATGCAGGGTCCGGGGAGACCAGATATAGTGAATGCAGGGTCCGGGGAGACCAGATATAGTGAATGCAGGGTCCGGGGGGAGACCAGATATAGTGAATGCAGGGTCCGGGGAGACCAGATATAGTGAATGCAGGGTCCTGGGAGACCAGATATAGTGAATGCAGGGTCCAGGGAGACCAGATATAATGAATGCAGGGTCCGGGGGGGCCAGATATAGTGAATGCAGGGTCCAGGGAGACCAGATATAGTGAATGCAGGGACGGGGAGACCAGATATAGTGAATGCAGGGTCCGGGGAGACCGGATATAGTGAATGCAGGATTCTGGGTTTAGCAACACTTTAACACACACAAAAATCTCTTAAAGATGGTAAATGCTGTAATTAATTTTTTTTAAGCTGAATTTTAGGTATGATTTTTCTTGCACAGTTACATTGGATCAATGTAAGCATGCATATATTATACCTGACAGATCTCTATAGGAGCTGCAATCCATTGTAATAGTTTCTACTGCAATCCATTGTATAGTTTCTGCTACTACAGTGATACAGTAGAATCAAGTCTTCTGGCTTCCCTTTTGCATAGTAACTGCTCACTGGGCACTGCCACTATTCACAAAATATCTTATATTTTTTTTCAATGAACGTAAGGCGTTGATTGGCCAAGGTGGAGAGGTAGGGCGGTGACATCACCATCTCCACCTCATTAAATCAATAAACGCCTTGTATTCACTGAAATTACAGTCAGGTCCATAAATATTGGGACATCAACACAATTCTAACATTTTTGGCTTTATACACCACCACAATGGATTTGAAATGAAACAAACAAGATGTGCTTTAACTGCAGACTGTCAGCTTTAATTTGAGGGTATTTACATCCAAATTAGGTGAACGGTGTAGGAATTACAACAGTTTGCATATGTGCCTCTCACTTTTTAAGGGACCAAAAGTAATGGGACAATTGGCTTATCAGCTGTTCCATGGCCAGGTGTGTGTTATTCCCTCATTATCCCAATTACAATGAGCAGATAAAAGGTCCAGAGTTCATTTCAAGTGTGCTATTTGCATTTGGAATCTGTTGCTGTCAACTCTCAAGATGAGATCCAAAGAGCTGTCACTATCAGTGAAGCAAGCCATCATTAGGCTGAAAAAACAAAACAAACCCATCAGAGAGATAGCAAAAACATTAGGCGTGGCCAAAACAACTGTTTGGAACATTCTTAGAAAGAAGGAACGCACCAGTGAGCTCAGCAACACCAAAAAACCTGGAAGACCACGGAAAACAACTGTGGTGGATGACCAAAGAATTCTTTCCCTGGTGAAGAAAACACCCTTCACAACAGTTGGCCAGATCAAGAACACTCTCCAGGAGGTAGGTGTATATGTGTCAAAGTCAACAATCAAGAGAAGACTTCACCAGAGTGAATACAGAGGGTTCACCACAAGATGGAAACCATTGGTGAGCCTCAAAAACAGGAAGGCCAGATTAGAGTTTGCCAAACGACATCTAAAAAAGCCTTCACAGTTCTGGAACAACATCCTATGGACAGATGAGACCAAGATCAACTTGTACCAGAGTGATGGAAAGAGAAGAGTATGGAGAAGGAAAGGAACTGCTCATGATCCTAAGCATACCACCTCATCAGTGAAGCATGGTGGTGGTAGTGTCATGGCGTGGGCATGTATGGCTGCCAATGGGACTGGTTCTCTTGTATTTATTGATGATGTGACTGCTGACAAAAGCAGCAGGATGAATTCTGAAGTGTTTCGGGCAATATTATCTGCTCATATTCAGCCAAATGCTTCAGAACTCATTGGACGCCGCTTCACAGTGCAGATGGACAATGACCCAAAGCAGACTGCAAAAGCAACCAAAGAGTTTTTTAAGGGAAAGAAGTGGAATGTTATGCAATGGCCAAGTCAGTCACCTGACCTGAATCCGATTGAGCATGCATTTCACTTGCTGAAGACAAAACTGAAGGGAAAATGCCCCAAGAACAAGCAAGAACTGAAGACAGTTGCAGTAGAGGCCTGGCAGAGCATCACCAGGGATGAAACCCAGCGTCTGGTGATGTCTATGCGTTCCACACTTCAGGCTGTAATTGACTGCAAAGGATTTGCAACCAAGTATTAAAAAGTGAAAGTTTGATTTATGATTATTATTCTGTCCCATTACTTTTGGTCCCTTGTCAAGTGGGAGGCACATATGCAAAGTGTTGTCATTCCTACACCGTTCACCTGATTTGGATGTAAATACCCTCAAATTAAAGCTGACAGTCTGCAGTTAAAGCACATCTTGTTTGTTTCATTTCAAATCCATTGTGGTGGTGTATAGAGCCACAAATGTTAGAATTGTGTCGATGTCCCAATATTTATGGACCTGACTGTATATGTATTCGTTAGCTCCAACCTTCTATGCCGCACTGCTCCTGCCAGCAGCTTCGACTGAGAGAGCTTCTTGTTGTCAGGAGGTTTTGCCACTGTCTTCTTCTCAGGCTCCTTCTTCTTTTGCTCTGTGGATGTGGCTGCTATTGTGCGGGCATTGTGAGATATCAGTTAAGAAGAAAAACTCTCCATTAAGGGTGTAGGCTTCCTTTCTGCATGTTATCTGTAATCTTACCCATAGAACTATGGACACTAAGCCATCAAACCTCCAGATGAACGACACAAACAGAAAAGACTTGCACACACACCACAGATTGTACAGACTCATAAGCATCCTGAAATAAAGCCCACCATTTACCAACACTTCGTTTTGGGGGATAGACTTGGCAAATATGAATACTCCTGTACGCTCTTTCATTCCTGCCCGTGACCCCCTTTGGTATTTTTAATTTGTCTTTCTGTAGTTGTAAACGTAAGAATGTTCTAACCCTTCCTTGTTTTACTGGAAAAAAAAAGTGAAAATAAGGTGCAACTCCATCCAATTTTAAAAAAAATTTAGAATAAAGAGGAGAAGAGTTAAAGCCTCTGTCTGAATTTTACTGGTTCAACTTTAACGCACGTTGATAAGGTTATTACTTTAATCCGATCACAAATATCTAAAAAAAAAAACTATACACACACGCAGGTGTGAGGAGGATGGAGTACCCCACAGCTAAAGTAGGAGGTACTATGGAACTCTTTAATAACAGCTGGGATTTCTGGGATCAATTTCCGTATGGCTTACTCTCCGTACCACCCACTTCCCAATGATGCAACGATTTAATATGATAGTTGGGTTGAACCTGTTGACTGAACCTGGTGTGAGCTTTTCTCTTTCCAGTTACTGTCTTTTTGTTACTTGTCACCATACCCTTACTGGGCACCTCTACTGATTCTTTCGAACTTTTGCTGTCTTTGGAATGTCTTCCAACATTCACTTTATTTTTTTAGGCTTCAAGCAATCACAGAAGTATTGTTGGCAATTGTAATGTCATTCTGTCTTCTAATTTATGTTCTTTTTCATGAAAAACTCAAAAATATATTGAAAAAAAAAAATTATATATATACACACTGCTCAAAAAAAATTTAAGGAACACTTTTTAATCAGAGTATAGGATCAAGTCAATTAAACTCCTGGGTTATTGATCTGGTCAGGTAAGTAGCAGAGGGGGTTGTTAATCAGTTTCAGCTGCTTTGGTGTTAATGAAATTAACAACAGGTGCACTAGATAGGCAACAATGAGACAACCCCCAAAACAGGAATGGTTTTAAAGGTGGAGGCCACTGACATTTGTTTTCCCTACTTATCTTTTCTGACTGTTTTTCACTAGTTTTGCATTTGGCTAGGGTCAGTGTCACTACTGGTAGCATGAGGCGATACCTGGATCCTACAGAGGTTGCACAGGTAGTTCAACTCCTCCAGGATGGCACATCAATATGTGCCATTGCCAGAAGGTTTGCTGTGTCTTCCCGTACAATCTCAAGATCATAAAGCAGATTCCAGGAGACAGGCAGTTACTCTAGGAAAGCTGGACAGGGCTGTAGAAGGTCCTTAACCCAACAGAAGGACCGGTAATAGCTCCTTTGTGCAAGGAGGAACAGGATGAGCACTGCCAGAGCCCTACAAAATGACCTTCAGCAGGCCACTGGTGTGAATGTCTCTGATCAAACAAACAGAAACAGTCTTCATGAGGGTGGCATGAGGGCCCGATGTCCTCTAGTGGGCCCTGTGCTCACTTCCCATCACCATAGAGCTCAATTAGCATTTGCCACTGAACACCAGAATTGGCAGGTCCTCCACTGGCGCTCTGTGCTTTTCACAGATGAGAGCAGGTTCACCCTGAGCACATGTGACAGACGTGAAAAGGTCTGGAGAAGCTATGGAGAACGTTATGCTGCCTGTAACATGGTTCAGCATGACCGTTTTTGTGGTGGGTCAGTGATGGTCTGGTGAGGCATATCCATGGAAGGATGCACAGACATCTACAGGCTAGACAATGGCACCCTGACTGCCATTAGGTATCGGGATCAAATCCTTGGACCCATTGTCAGACCCTACGCTGGTGCAGTGGGTCCTGGGTTCCTCCTGGTGGATGACAATGCCCAGCCTCATGTGGCGGGAGCACGCAGGAGGTTCCTGGAGGATGAAGGAATTGATACCATTTAATGGCCCCCATGCTCACCTGAACTTAATTCAATAGAACACCTCTGGGAGATAATGTTTCGGTTCATCCGACACTGCCAGGTTGCACCTCAGACTTTCCAGGAGCTCAGTGATGCCCTGGTTCAGATCTGAGAGGAAATACTCCAGGGCACCATCCTCGTCTCATTAGGAGCATGTCCCGACCTTGTCAGGCATGCATACAAGCTGCAAATACCAGTTGTATGGCTTTCTCTGGCTTCCATACTATCCAAGTTACTGACCTGGAACAAGCATGCAAATTAGAAAGTCACATAAAAGTCTAAACTTCATTTGCATACTGGTTTAAGAGCAGCGATTTAGAAAGTCCAAATTCCCTGGATCAGCATAGCAGCCAAAAAACCTGCAGTCAAAAAGACTCAGAAAAAATGTTCATTTCACAGTCTCAAACACCTGATTACTCCTTCTGTGAGAATTAGAGTACAGCCATGGCTAAAAGTTTTCAGAATGACACAAATATTAATTTTCACAAAGTCTGCTGCCTTGGTTTTTATGATGGCAATTTGCATACTCTCCAGAATGTTATGAAGAGTGATCAGATGAATTGCAATTAATTGCAAAGTCCATCTTTGCCATGAATTGAACTTAATCCCAAAAAAACATTTCCACTGCATTTCAGCCCTGCAACAAAAGGACCGGCTGGCATCATGGCAGTGATGCTCTCATTAACACAGGTGTCAGTGTTGACGAGGACAAGGCTGGAGATCACTCTGTCATGCTGATTGAGTTAGAATAACAGACTAGAAGCTTTAAAGGGAGGGTGGTGTTTGAAATCATTGTTCTTCCTCTGTTAACCATGGTTACCTGCAAGGAAATACATGCAGTCATTGCTTTGCACAAAAAGGGATTCATAGACAAGAATATTGCTGCTACTAAGATGGTACCTAAATCAACCATTTATCGGATCATCAAGAACTTCAAGGAGAGAGGTTCAATTGTTGTGACGAATGCTTCAGGGCGCCCAAGAAAGTCCAGCAAGCGCCAGGATCATCTCCTAAAAGTTGATTCAGCTGCGGGACCGGGCACCGCCAGTGCAGATCTTGCTCAGGAATGGCAGCAGGCAGGTGTGAGTGCATCTGCATGCACAGTGTGGTGAAGACTTTTGAAGGATGGCCTGGTGTCAAGAAGGGTAGAAAAGAAGCCACTTCTCTCCAGGAAAAAGATCAGGGACAGACTGATAAAAACCTTGTTCGGAGAAGAAAAGGTGAGCGCTACCATCAGTTCTGTGTCATGCCAACAGTAAAGCTTTCCGAGACCATTCTTGTGTGTGGTTGCTTGCCAGCCAGGGAAGTGGGCTCACTTACAATTTTGCCATGAATAAGCCATGAATTCACAGCCAAGAATAAAGAATGTTACAAAAAAATCCTGTGAGAGCAACTTCTCCCAACCATCCAAGAACAGTTTGGCGACGAACAATGCCTTTTCCATTGCATGATGGAGCACCTTGCCATAAGGCAAAGGTGATAACTAAGTGGCTTGGGGGAACAAAACATCGAAATTTTGGGTCCATGGCCAGGAAACTCCCCAGACCTCAATTCCATTGAGAACATGTGGTCAATCCTCAAGAGGCGGGTGAACAAAAAACACCACAAATTCTGACAAACTCCAAGCATTGATTATGCAAGAATGAGCTGCCATCAGTCAGGATGTGGCCCAAAAGTTGATTGGCATCATGCCCGGGGGAATTGCAGAGGTCTTAAAAAAAAAAAAAAAAAGGGCAACACTGCAAATATTGACTCTTTGCATAAACTTAATGTAATTGTCAGTGAAAGCCTTTGACACTTCTGAAATGCTTGTCATTATACTTCACTATACCATAGTAACATCTGACAAAAATATCTAAAAACACTGAAGCAGCGGACTGTGAAAATTAATATTTGTGTCATTCTCCAAAATTTTGGCCAGGGGTGTACAAATATTGCATTTCCAGCTTTCAGTGATACAACTTTCCTTCATCTAACAGTTAAAAATTAAAAAATAAGTTCTGCCTGGACCCACCTAGAAACACGCTTATCTTGCCAGAAGCAGAACTATTGGAAAGGACAGATCATGAGCACAGTTTTTAAAGGGCTCTGCTTATTGTAATGCAATTACTACTACAGCGGGTAAAATAAGTATTGAACACGTCACCACCATTTTTCTCAGTAAATATATTTTTAAAGGTGCTATTGACATGAAATTTTCACTGAATGTCAGTAATAACCAATGCAATCCATACATACAAAGAAACCAAAACAAATAAGTTCAGAAATGATATAGGGAAAAAGTATTGAACACATGAAGAAAAAAAAGATGCAAAAAGGCATGGAAAGCCAAGACACTAGCTGAAATCAATCTGTAATTTGAAAGCAATCCTGCCCCTTGTGAATGCAAATTAATATCACCTGATTCAGTCTCAACTGAGGCCCATAAAAAGGTGTCTCATTAATAAGGTGTATACATTTATTTCAGGTACTTCTATAGCGCCATCAATTTATGCAGCGCTTTACATATATATTGTACATTCACATCAGTCCCTAACCCTCAAGGGGCGTACAATCTAAGGTCCCTAACTCACATTCATACATACACATACTAGGGACAATTTAGACAGGATCCAATTAACCTACCAGCATGTCTTTGGAGTGTGGAAGGAAACCGGCGTACCCGGAGGAAACCCATGCAGGCTCAGGGAGAACATGCAGACTCCAGGCAGATAGTGCCGTGGCTGGGATTCCAACCAGCGACCCTAGAACTGCCAGGCAGAAGTGCTAACCTTTTCACCACTGTGCTGCCCATACTCATAACGGGTAAAAGCAAAGAGCTCTTTCAAGACCTTTGCAACCTTATGTTGCAAAACATACTGATGGAATTGATTACAAAAGGATTTCTAAACTTCTGAATGTTCCAATGAGCACTGTTGGGGCCAAAATCCAGACGTGGAAAGAACATAATTTCACCATAAACCAGCCACGACCAGGTGCTCCTCGCAAGACTTCTAACGAGGAGTGAAAAGAATTATCAGAGAAGTTGTTCGAGGACCACTTGTGGAGAGCTTCAGAAAGACCTGGAATTAGCAGATATAATTGCACCACGCAAGACTCCATTGCTGAAGAAAAAGCATGCTGAAACTCATTAAAAGTTTGCTGCACAACATTTAGACAAGTCTGTGAAATACTGGGAGAATATAGTCTGGTCAGATGAGAACAAAATTGAACTCTTTGGATGCCATAATACACACCATGTTTGGAGGTCAAATGGATCTGCACATCAATCCAAAAACACCATACAACAGTGAAGTTTGGAGGTGGGAACATCATGGTGTGGGGCTGTTTTTTCAGCATACGATACTGGCAAACTTCAAGCCATTGAAGGAAGGATGAATGGAAAAATGTACCAAGACATTCTTGATAAAAGTCTGCTGCCATCTACCAGGATGATGAAGATGAAATGAAGGTGGACATTTTAGCAAGACAATGATCCCAAGCACAAAGCCAAGGAAATTCATTTGGTTTCAAAGAAAGTAAATAAAGCTGCTAGTGAGGCCCAGCTAATCACCTGACTTGAATCCAATAGAAAATCTATGGAAAGAACTAAAAATCAGAGTTCAAAGAAGAGACCTATGGAACTTTCAAGATTTGAAGACTGTTTGTGTAGAAGAATGGGCTAAAATCACACCTAAGCAATTCATGTGACTAGTTTCTTCATACAGGAGGCGTCTTGAAGCTGTCATTATCAACAAAGGATTTTGTACAAAGTATTAAATAAATGTCACTTAGAGTGTTCAATACTTTTACCCTGTGTCATTTGTATCGCTTAGGGATGGACTCTGTCATAGGGATCACACAATGAATGTCTTGGAATATGCATGCCTTGCTGCCCTCAAAGAACCAGGGAGTCCAAAAGTACTAATAGAGAAAAACAAAATAGAGGGCACACCGGCCTTGTGCATTATCTTTAAAAAAATATGTTTATTAAATTTAAAAGAAGGTATTCTACTCACAAAAGTACATGAAAATAAGAGCTCTGAGGAAGAGGCTAGTCCTCGAAACGCGTCAGCAATTTTGGATGTCCATCATTCTTATCACAATTCAGAAACGCAGTGCGAATTGGACAGAGCGGTCTCATATGATGTGCTTATTTTCATGTACTTTTGTGAGTAGAATACCTTCTTTTAAATTTAATATATTTTTAAAGGTAATGCACAAGGCCGGTGCGCCCTCTGTTTTGTTTTTCTCTATTAGAGTGATGGAAACTGACTGCTGGAAAACGTAGGTTAAAAAACTGTCAGTTTATGCACATTTGCATACCGCGTTTATGCGTGTTTGCATTCAGAAGCGTTTTTAAAAGATAACCTCACCAGACCTTCCCAAATGCCCAGAATGCACTGAAAAATAGTAAATAATTAACTATTTCAGACATCTTGAAATTAATAGAGAGAGCAGAAGCAGAGAGAGCAGTATGTGTTGAGAATACCGGTCTTTTCTGGTTGTATTCACTATGGATCCTATCATGAGCATAATGCAGCATGTTCTACCATTTTTTCCTTCACGTGAAACCTGCAACTGACTGCGCTGGTGTACCGGGTCCATTTGAATACATGGAAAACACTTTGCATGCATTTCTGATGATGAAAAAAGGCTCTTGACAGCATCTGGATATGGAACAGTTAAAAAACGCTTCTAAACGCAAACACTTATAAAGCTTTGAAACACGGGTAAAATCTACTCCTGAATGCAAGTTTGGTGCGTTAAAAGAAACAACTGTAAACTCAACTGCCTGTAAACAAATGTAAACAAGATAGTGTACATGGACACATAGAAAACATTAGGGAGAGTTCAGGGGCTGCTGAAAAACCGCTGAACAGCTCCTGAACAGTTTAGCAGCTGCAGTATACATGAGCCCTAATACATAAACAAATGAGATGGATGTATAATTCACCATTGATACCAGTAGCTGGCACAAATTATTTTACACCAGGGAAGAGTGTTATATCAGGTATATGGATAAAAAATGAGAATGCATGTTTAAAGGATATAATGAAAATGGGGGAAATGTGTTCTTTTTAGGAGTTGAAATATAAAAAGGATATGTTTTATGTGATGGATGAATAGAGATACCACCAATTAAGAGACTTAGCTACAACACTTCCACAGCCATTAAGAGCGAGTGAAAATTTGTATCCATTTGAGCAATTGTTGCGTTTATATGGCATACAAAAACATTGTACTTCTCGTATTTATAAAATACTCGCCACAATAGCTGAACCGATCCTACCCCCATAGATGAAGAAATGGGAAAATCAATGGGGTACACAACGGAATGAGCAACAGAGAAGGAAAATATTTAGAATTGCTCATGGGGCAATTGATATGAACAGAGTGGAGATGAATTATAAATTCTTGGTAAGATGGTATATTATACTTAGTAGAGCACATAAGTATCATCCGGAGGATTCTTTGTTTTGTTGGAGGGGTTGTGGAAAAAAAGGGCACAATGGCACATATATGGTGGGAATGTCCCAAAATACGGGAATTCTGACAGCTGAATAATAGTGCAATAAGTGTCAGAGATTGTAAGAGAAGGCATATTAAAAGACCCATAGCTGTGTTTATTTCACAGTACTGACCTTACAGTGAAACAATACAAAAATACAATAGTTCTTCACTTAATTAATGCAGCAAAAGGGCTGTTTCCTAAATTCTGGAAGACCCAAGAAATCCCTAGAGTAAAAGATTGGATAAAGAGGGCGGGCAGCACAGTGGCTAAATGGTTAGCACTTCCGCCTGGCAGTACTAGGGTCGTTGGTTCGAATCCCAGCCACAGCACCTCCTGCCTGGAGTTTGCATGTTCTCCCTTGGCCTGCGTGGTTTTCCTCCGGGTACTCCGGTTTCCTCCCACACTCCAAAGACATGCTGGTAGGTAAATTGGATCCTGTCTAAATTGACCCTTGTATATGAATGTGAGTTAGGGACCTTAGATTGTACGCCCCTTGAGGGTTAGGGACTGATGTTAATGTACAATATATATGTAAAAGCACTGCGTAAATTGACAGCGCTATATAAGTACCTGAAATAAATAAATATTCAATATATACAGTTAGGTCCATATATATTTGGACACAGGCACAATTTTAGATTTTTTCAGGTATTTACCAAAACATATTCAAGCTATAGTTATATAATGGATATGGGCTGAAAGTGCACACTATCGGGTTAATTTGAGGGTTTGTACATCCAAATTGGAGGAAGGGTTTAGGAATTACAGCTCTTAAGAGTAGCCATCCTCCCTTTTTCCAAGTATCAAAAGTAATTGGACAATTGAATCAAAAGCTGTTTCATGGCCAGGTGTGGGCTACTCCATTATATTTTTTTCAATTAAGCAGGTAAAAGGTCTGGAGTTGATTCTAAGTGTGGTATTTGCATTTGAAATTAAAGACTTCAAAAATTAAACAAATCCATCAGAGAGATAACAGCAACATTAAGAATGGCCTAATCAACAGTTTGGTACATTCTGAGAAAAGAAGAACGCACTTGTGAGCTCAGCAACATAAAAAGTCATGGACATCCATGTAAGACAACAGTGGTGAATGATCGCAGGATCCTCTCTATGGTAAAGAAAAACCCATTCACAGCATCCAGACAAGTGAAGGACACTCTCCAGGAGGTGGGCGTATCATTGTCAAAGTCTACGATCAAGAGAAGGCTTCATGAGAGAAAACAAAGAGGGTTCACCACAAGGTGCAAACCATTCATAAGCCTGAAGAATAGAAAACCAAGATTAGACTTTGCCAAAAAACATGAAAAAAAGCCAGACCAGTTCTGGAAAAGCATTCTTTGGACGGATGAAACCAAGATTAATCTGTGCCAGAATAATGGTAAGAAAAGAGTGTGGAGAAGGCTTGGAACAGCTCATGATCCAAAGCACACAACCTCATCTGTAAAACATGGTGGAGGCAGTGTGATGACATGGGCATCCATGGCTTCCAGTGGCACTGGGTCATTGGTGTTTATTGATGATGTGACAGAAGACAGAAGCAGCTGGATGAATTCTGCAGTGTTTAGAGAAATACTGTCAGCCCAGATTCAGCCAAATGCAGCAAAGGTGATTGGACAGAGCTTCACAGTACAGATGGACAATGATCAAAAACACACTGCAAAAGCAACCCAGGAGCTTTTGAAAGAAAAGAAGTGGAATATTCTGCAATGGCCGAGTCAATCACCTGATCCCAACCCAATTGAGCATGCATTTCCCTTACTGAGCGCAAAACTAAAGGCAGAAAGACCCACAAACAAAGAACTGAAGACAGCTGCAGTTAGAGCCTGGCAAAGCATCAGAAAGGAGGAAATATAGGATATATATATATATATATATATATATATATATATAAATAAAATGGTGACGTGTTCAATACTTATTTTACTCCCTGTATATTAATACACATTTTAAGACCCTACAAAGATCAGCTGCAAAAAGTCAAAGGATATTCGAAATTCATTTAATTCCTTCATTTCTTCTTCTCTTCTCTCCTTTTCCAACATTTCCTGTTTTCTTGAAACTTCATCCAGAAACTTTGTTTCTTCTTCATCTAAGCCTCGCACCATATTTTCTAAAGAATGCAAAAACACAGTTCAGTGTACGGCAAAGTTTGGAAATGTTAGAGCTGATTCACACATGTGCAGTACGGATTGAAGCTCAGGTTTCACAGCTAATTGATACAGTAGTTGTTCACTGGCTCATGTCAGGTTTGCGTCAGGTTCAGGACAGGATTAGCTCTCAATAGCATGTAATCCGCACCTGAACCAGACCACACTGCTCAGAAATCGTGCATGGCTCTTTTTCAAACTGCACTGAATCCGCACCGCCAGTGCCCCGGGCATATGTGAGCACGCACCATAGGAAGCAATGTCTTTTCACATGTCATGCTGATTGGATGCGGTTCAAACCACATCCAATCCACATACATGTGACCTGGCACATAAGGGTCTTATTTTAAGAAAAAGCCGGTGAAATAATTATTTTTTGTTTTCTGACACCTCTCTGTATCACACTATAACATTTTATAAGTCAGTGACGAGTAAACAGAACACAAAGCCATCTGATTGTAATAAAAATGGAAGTGTTGCTGCCTTACAGCAAAAATTTTTTAATATATTTCAGCCTACCAATCTTTGGACAGCTGCCTTAGTTTTCTTTGTCTTCCTTTATATTCACCTAATGATGTGAGCAGTAAGTCTGTTATTTTTTAAAATGTTTAACTGACCAGCTGTCAAGCAAAATTGCCAGTTACAGGCATACCTGTGCACAGAGGCTGGTGTAAGCTTTCTAATGTTCCCTCTCCTGTGTCACAGCTCTCTAGCAATCCTAGATAGCAGCTGTGAAAACTCCAAGTGCTATTAATACTTTTGAAGGTAAAGTCGGTTCTTACAAAGTCTTGTCTTGATACAATGGCATCATCACTATTTTTCCTAATTGGTGCAAACTATTTTTTCCATTGACTGAGGCCAGCTAGTGAAAGAAAAACAAAGAGGGTTACACTCATAGCTTCGAACTTACAGGAGGTTAAAAGATCTGATGCTGCATCAATTCCCTGATGCCTCTGACACAGAGAATCGAGTGATCGAAGACCGCTGGTCGCTTGGCTCTCGGCAGTGAGCAGAGTCACCAACTCCTTGTTCTGCCCCTCAAGCGCTCACTGGAGCACTGGGCTGCGTAGTGGGTGGGAGCTGCTGGCTCATGTTCCAAGTGGCGCACTTAGAGGCTGAGCCAGCTGGCAATCAGTAATCTGGGTGGATCCCGACATAAAAGTTGGGATGCCTCCAGAGTCTGGACCGGAGGAAAGACGTCAGCTGACAGTGGACATTACCCCTGCTGTTGACTGAATCTGGGTCACAAGAGTGCAGAATGAAGTGCACTCTGTGACCTACAGGAGCAGTAGGGCCAAAAGAGCTCTGGCCCACTGCTTCCCTTATGTGTTTTTTTTTTTTTTACATCCAATGGCCAAAATAGAGCAGCAGGGGAGCAAAGAAAAGGTCAGTACATGAGGTTAGGGAGGGTGGAAGATAGGTTAACCTTATTTTAACCTTCTACAAGGAAAAAGCACGGTTTTAAATGACAAGTTCACCTTTGCCAAAAAACTGCCTACGCAGTAAGTGGTGCCAATAGATAAAAACAAATTGTGCAGCTTTGACTAAAGTTGAATAATGCCCTTGCTAAAGGTATAAGCCATTTACGTACTTCCTGAAATTTTGAATGTGGATGGACATACAGAGGCAAATAAAAAATATTTGATCCCCTGCAGATTTCGTAAAAAGAAAAATGGCCTATAATTTCTATCATAGGTGTTTTTTAAATGATAGAGACAGCATATCAACCAAGAATACAGAAAAAACACGATACAAATGTTATAAATTGAGTTGCAGTTCAGTGAGTAAGATAAGTATTTGATCCCCTACCAACCAACAATAATTCTGGCTCCCACAGACTGGCTATGTGCTCATGCGGTACACAGATTAGTCCTGTTAATTTAAGAAGGTGCTCCTAATGACAACTCATTATGTGTATAAATAGACACCTGTCCACAGAAACTCTTTCTTCCATTCAAACCTCACCATCACCATGGGAAAGACCAAAGATTGTCAATCATGGATAAGATTGTAGACCTGCACAAGGCTGGAATGGGCTACAAGACCATCAGCAAGAAGCTTGGTGAGAAGGAGACAACTGTTGGAGCGATTATTCGCAAATGGAAGAAATACAAGATATCCATCAATCACCCTTTGTCTGGAGTTCCATGCAAGATCTTGCCTCATGGGGTAAGGATGATCACAAGAAAAGTGAGGGATCAGTCCAGAACTACATGGGAGGAGCTTGTGATCGATCTCAAGGCAGTTGGGACCAAAGTCACTAACCAAACCATTGGTAACACAATACACCGCCATGGACTGAAATCCTGCAGCGCCCGCAAGGTCCCCCTCCTCAAGAAGGCCCATAATAAGATTGCCAATGAACATCTAAATGATTTAGAGAAGGACTGCGAGAAAGTTCTGTGGTCAAATGAGACCAAAATTGAAATTTGTGGCATTAACTCGACTCACCGTGTTTGGAGGAAAAAAAATACTGACTATGACCCTAAGAACACCATCCATACACATAAAGTGTTAGTAAACCCAGGATCCTGCATTCACTCTATCTGGTCTCCCACAGTACACACAACATGGAAATGCAATTATTTTAGTAACTATAAACTGCTAAATACCTTTTCTCATCAGCAGTTAGAGCAGTCTTGTGACTTCAGCAGAGCACTGGTTAAAGCTTGTAGGAGGAGTATTCTTTCTGCTCTAGGGAGGATGTGAAAGTCCTGCCCTTCTGTCTGGAGAGTGCTGATTGGCCCTGTGCTGATCATATGCACTCTCCCAAGAAAAACAAAAAGCAACCTCTCTAGCAATACACACCAAACTGAGCATGTGTATGTGACTACAGATTCAGTCTGTATCAGGTGGTCATTTCAACAAGAGGAGGGGCAGAGAAGAAAGGATAAAACAGCCTTTTTACACAATGCAGAGGATTAACCCCTTAGGTTCCACAGTGAGTATAACAAGCATGCTTTACTGCATATACAGACTGATTTTACTGTTGTGGGTTTAGTAACACTTTAAGCAAGTAGGTGGAAACATTGTGCGTTGGGGCTGTTTCTCTGCTAAAAGTACAGGCCGACTTTGCTACAAATCTTGGATGAGAACCTTCTTCCCTCAGCCAGAACATTGAAGATGGATCATGGATAGGTCTTTCAACATGACAACGACCCAAAACATACCACCAAGGCAACAAAGGAGAGGCTCAAGAAGAAGCACATTAAGGTCATGGAGTGGCCTAGCCAGTCTCCAGACCTTAATTCGATAGAACATTTATGGAGGGAGCTAAAACTTCGAGTTGCCAAGCGACAGCCAAGAAGCCTTAAGGATTTAGACAAGATCTGTAAAGAAGAGTGGACCAAAATCCCTCCTGAGATGTGTGCAAACCTGGTCACCAACTACAACAAACATCTTACCTCTGTGCTGGCCAGCAAGGGTTCCTCCACCAAGTACTAAATCATGTTTTGCTTGGGGATCAAATACTTATTTTCCTCACTGAACTGCAACTCACTTTATAACATTTATATCATGTGTTTTTTTCTGGATTTTTGGTTGATATTCCATCTCTATCATTTAAAATACACATATGATAAAAATAATAGACCCTTCATTTCTTTGTAAGTGGGCAAACTTACAAAATCTACAGGGGATCAAATAATTATTTTCCCCGCTGTACAAGTGTATGATCATTGCTGGAATGGTCAAGTGTCACTGGGCAATCTAAAGCCGTGGCTAGTCCTGGTAGATTAAAGCAGTGTTGATGGAGGAATTCCTCCTGCACTGCTATTGTGTTCTGCTGGTGGGGAACCAAATGTTCATCTCTTTGTTCCCCAAGATTAGAGTGATGCCTGATATTTCTGCAGCTTTACTTGTTCACCAATTAAAAGATTTTCTTATAAATTAATTGATATGACTTACAGAGTTACTTACTGAATTTAAACTGTTCTTCGTATTCTTGCTGTTTCTTCTCCTTCTGTTCCTGTAGCTTTTCATATAAAGAGCGAGGGTCATACACTTCCTCTGGACATTCTGGAGAAAATAATTAAATTACTAGCTCCAGCTATTAAACATCATAACCAGGGGCGGACTGACCATTTGGAAACTCGGGCACTGCCCGAGGGCCCGGGGTCAGTAGGGGGCCCCATGAGATGCCCCTGGTACCTTTTTCATAGGCTTTTTTGAGTTTGGGCAAGCACACAGGGGCCCCATGATCTCCTATTGCCCCGGGGGCCCCATGAGTTGTCAGTCTGCCCCTGATCATAACTAAATCTGCAGCAACAGTAGAATAATGGTCTTCATTTCAAGTGAGCATCATTCACAAGTCAAGGACCATATAAGCTTTTAAGAGGGCAGAATGGGGTCACCTACACCGCAAAGAGAGTTTGCTCGCCCCACCCCCAAACAAGCAATACAGGTCTCCATAATAGTCATTTCAAATGACAGGAGCTTATTACATTAGGGTACTGCCATACAAGTGTCTAAATGTATTCCTCTTCATGTCAACTATACTGTGAACACATGCATTGCTGATATTTACTTGCTTGCCTGCTGAAGCAAAGGTAAATTATTTTGTTAAAGTGGAACTCTATCCAAAAAGGGAAGTTCCACTTTAAGGCCTCCTCCCCTGCTCCTCTTTGAAATTTGGCATGTTTTATTTTTTTTGGGGGGTAGCACTACCTGGTTTTGACAGGTACCCACTTCTGCTTAGATTGACTAGGTGATCTGAGTGTGGAAGTTCCCCCCCCCCCCCCCCCCCGTCTTCAGGGACATGTCACAGGTCCCAGAGGACTCATGCATGCGCAGGGGGCACAGCAGCAAGCTGTCACAGCCGGGTGCCCACACTTAAGATGCCAAGGACCGGAGATGGTCCCTGGCGCCCCATAGGGTGGGCACAATGCTGAACCCTGGGACAGGTAAGTGTCTGTTTATTAAAAGTCATCAGCTACAGTTTTTGCAGCTGCTGGCTCTTAATTTTCAGAAAACCAAATGGAGCTGCTTTTTAAGTACAGAAGTTTTTTTAGATATTAGAAAGGTATGGAAATTAGCAACTGAGGATGTCTGATTTATTTTTGAAAATGTATTTTTATAAAGCTTGTAATAAACCAGCCCACCGAATATGCAATAGATAGCGGAGCTTTCAGACCAGCCATCCGCTTCCTGATGACATTATTATTATTATACATGACTAGCAAATTACAAAATGCGTAGGGATGGGACTTCCAGTCTGATGCCACTTCCATACCGTGGAATGCACGCTGGCTCCTGAGAGATAGCAGTGTGATGGAGCCTTGGTTTTTATATTTGGCTTCCTAGCTTACCCCGGTCCCGGTTTAAGTCAGTTATGGAGATGTGTTTAATTTAACCCTTTGAGGACCAAGGGACATATTTGTCCCATGTTTTTAATTGCGTGTATCATCTGAGTAAGAACTTAAAATACTTTTTTTTTTTTGGTTTGAGTCAAAATATTAGTTCTTATCAACAAATGGATCTAGCTTTTTGCCAATTATTTCACGAAATGGCTTAGTTACAGCAACTGAAGTGTACGAACTTTAAAAACAAAAAATTGATTCTTTTGGCGTTCCGTAATCTTATGGTGCTCAAAGGGTTTAATTTGTTTTTATGGGCATTTTAAAATAAAGAGGTACAGTATGCAATGATCTGTACTCTGGTCTGTGTCTCCTATGTTCTCTGAGCTTTACAGGTGGACCGTAAGGGCAGCTGGTGTTCTTCAGTGAAGCTCCTGTGGTGGTTGGAGGGGGAATTGAAGGAGATGATTTCTTTTGCAAAGCACATAGTTACATAGTTAGTCTGGCTGAAAAAAGACAAAAGTCCATCCAGTTCAACCATTTAAAAAAAAAAAAAAGTTATAATCCTATACCCACAGTTGATCCAGTGAAAGGCAAAAACCCCCAGCAAAGCATGATCCAATTTGCTCCTGCTGGGAAAAAAAATTCCTTCCTGGTCCCCCGAGAAGCAATCGGATATTCCTTGGATCAACTTTACCTCTAAATGTTAGTATCCAGTTATATTCTGTGTATCCAAGAAAGAATCCAGGACTTTTTTGAAACAATCCACTGAGCCGGCCAGAACCAACTCTTGAGGGAATCTATTCCACATTTTCACAACTCTTACTGTGAAGAAACCTTTCCGTGTTTGGAGATTAAATTTATTTTCCTCCAGATGTAAAAGTGTTCCCCCTTGTCCTCTGTGATGACCTCAGGGTGAATAGCTCTACACCGAGTTCACTATATGAACCACTGATGTATTTATACATGGAGATCATATCCCCCCCCTTATGTATTATACATGGAGATCATATCCCCCCTTATGTATTATACATGGAGATCATATCCCCCCTTATGTATTATACATGGAGATCATATCCCCCCTTATGTATTATACATGGAGATCATATCCCCCTTATGTATTATACATGGAGATCATATCCCCCCTTATGTATTATACATGGTGATCATATCCCCCCTTATGTATTATACATGGTGATCATATCCCCCCCTTATGTATTATACATGGTGATCATATCCCCCCTTATGTATTATACATGGATATCATATCCCCCCCCCTTATGTATTATACATGGAGATCATATCCCCCCTTATGTATTATACATGGAGATCATATGGAGATCCCCCCTTATGTATTATACATGGAGATCATATCCCCCTTATGTATTATGCATGGAGATCATATCCCCCCTTATGTATTATACATGGTGATCATATCCCCCCTTAATCTCCTCTTCTCAAGAGAGAATAACTTCAGTTCCTCTAATCTTTCCTCATAGGTGATCTCCTCCATGCCTCTTATCAGTTTGGTTGCCCTTATCTGTCCTTTCTCCAGTTCCCCAATGTTCTTTTTGTGAATTGGTGCCCAAAACTGAACTGCATATTCCAGATGAGGTCTTACTAATGATTTGTACCGGGGTAATATGATATCCCTCTCTCTCTCTGGAGTCTATACCTCTTTTAATACAAGAGAGGATTTTGCTCACTTTAGAAGCCGCAGCTTGGCATTGCATGCCATTATTAAGCTTGTGATCTACCAGATCCTTCTCCACCATTGATTCCCTCAGTTGTACCCCCCCCCCTAGTATGTATGATGCATGCATATTCTTAGCCCCCAAGTGTATAAACTTACATTTATCAACATTAAACCTCATTTGCCACATAGTTGCCCAATTAAACAGTGCATTGAGGTCGGCTTGTAAGTTGGAGAGATCCTGTAAGGACGTTATTCCACTGCACAGCTTGGTGTCATCTGCAAAGACTGAAATGAGATTTTTAAACCCAGACCCTATATCGTTTATAAATATATTAAAAAGTAATGGTCCCAACACTGAACCTTGGGGTACACCACTGACGACCCTAGACCATGCAGACTATGAATCCATTTACATACAGATTTTTCCAAGTCCGTAGACTTTACCTTACACATTAGCTGTGTGTGGGGAACTGTGTCAAATGCTTTTCCAAAATCCATGTATACCACGTCCACCACCACAGTTTTGACCTTCTTATTGAGTATGTGGGGCCAAATAATTCTGGTGACTTTTTTTGGTGGCGCGTGAAGAGCCTTTTTTTCTGAAGATCTGACACATATATTCACAGTGTATGGACACTATTGCAGTGATATGTATAGACATGCACTATAGAGCACTGTATTACACACATTAGTAATCAATTGCATTTGTTACATATTTTTTTAGAATTGGAAGACTTTATATGTGTTTGAATCACCATTTATGAAGCAATTTAAAGAAATATTTGATAATTATTAGAGGGTCCAAGCACTGGTCACATTTAAAGTGTTACTAAACCCACAACAGTAAAATCAGCCTATACACATATGCAGTAAAGCATGCTTCTTATACTCACTGTGGAACCTAAGGAGTTAATTCTCTGCATTGTGTAACAATGCTGTTTGATCTCATTTCTATGATCCTTCCCTTCTTCCACTGTCTCTCTCTTACCCCCTGATAAGACATATCGTGTGGAGTCACTCTGCACATGCTCAGTTTGGTGTGCATCTGTAGAGAGGTTTTTTTTTTCTTGGGAGTGCGCACGTGATCAGCACAGGGCCAATCAGCACTGTCCAGACAGAGTTCAGGGGTCCTGCATCCTCCCAGATCAGAAAAAAACACCTCCTACAAGCTTTAACCAGTGCTCAGCTGGACACTAGACAATAGAAGTGACAAGACTGCTCTAACTGCTGATGAGAAAAGGTATTTAGCAGTTTATATTTAGTAAAATAATTGCACTTCCATGTTCTGTGTACTGTGGGAGACCAGATATAGTGAATGTAGGGTCCGGGGAGACCAGATAAAGTGAATGTAGGGTCATAGGTTTAGTAACACTTTAAAGCGGAGTTTCACTCAAAAGTGGAAGCTTCGCTTATTCCCCCCCCCCCCCCCCCCCCCCATTGCCATATTTGGCACCTTTTGGGGAGAAGGGAGGAGCGGATACCTGTTTTTTTACTGGTACCCGCTCCCACTTCCGGCTCGGTTTGCCATGGCGAAGTGAGCTGGACGTTCGGCCCCCTCCTCCCTCCCGATGTCTCCTGGGAACTTTCACAGGTCCCAGAAGACTGCCGGACCAATTAGCAGGCGCAGCGCAACTCTCGCATGCGCAGTGAGCACCAGGCTGTGAAGCCACAAGCTGTCACAGCCTGGTGCCCACAGTAGAGATGCCGACACCGTGGAGGAGAGAAGGAGAGAAGGGGAGAAGGAACACCGTGGGCGAGAACATCCCTGGTCTCCGGCACAGGTAAGTGTGTGTTTATTAAAAGTCAGCAGCTACAGTTTTTGTAGCTGCTGACTTTTAATAAACACAAAAATGGCTGGAACTCCGCTTTAAGTAACGAAAATGTCTTTCAAAATGAGTTCTATAGGGTTACTTTATGTTATAATTGCATTGTCAGTCCCAATGTTGTCACAAAAAAATGGATGCAATGGTTCACTAGTAAATACAGAACTGCATCTTTTAAATCTGCCTGGAGTTCAGGTGCACGCTCGCTGCACGGCAGCAGGCCTGGGGAGGATCGCAGCCGGACACTCCGGCCTTCACTCCCTGCTGCCCTGAGCCTCTCAGCCGGCTCTCCGACCCTCGGCTCAGACCTAACTTGTGCCTGACAGCACGTTGAGCTTCCTCACGTGTCTCCCCACTGGAGGAAACAACTGAACTGAGGTCGGAGGGGAGTGGAGAACTTTTTAATTTGGGTGGAGGTGTTTCCTCAGGTGGGGAGGAGCCGAGGTCTCTCAACGCGCTGTCCTGAAAGATGAAAGGGGAAAATACCCTTTTTACTTACCTAATGATGTTGTCACTTGATGGTTTACATGAGGCGGTGTCCTTCATCAGGTAACTACATATTGCCGGAGTGGCACTTTCTATTGGCTGTCCAGTGGCGGGGTTCTTTCAGGATCCAGAAGAGAAGGGACATCTGTGCAAGAGGACTGGCCAGGTGTATCTGCAGTGTTGGATTAGAAATCCCCGGCACTCAGATTTGGAGCTGGAAAGAGACCCAAATGGCCAATTTAGGCAAGAAAAAAACCTTGCAAGATGGTTTAGGAATTCTTGCCTGGCCTTGGGTTTTTTATTTTTGGATAGGGTGAGAACCTCTGTAGCCATTTGGGAATATTTCCCTATTTTCCTATGTGGTCATCAAGACAAGAAATGAGCATAATCTCTCCAACAAGGGCATGAATAGCATCTCATTTTTATAATTCCTGGTACACAAGGTAAACGTCTTTCCGTTCAGCCCAGCCCAATCAACAAGCAGCTTGTGAGGATGTTTGTACAGGGATCTCCCTGCTGTGCTATTGTTTTCTGACAGGGACACTGGCCCCCACCAGTCTGCACTCGCAGCCATTGACTGAGAGAGCTGATCAGCTGCTGGTTTTTCAGCATGCTTGTTTGACAGAAGTCAGTTGTGAGATCGGCTTCTGTCAAACAAGGACCTGTACACACGAGCCGACTGTTGGCCGGTATCTACTGTACCGGCTGGTTTCGGACAATATCGGCCCGTGTGTGGGCTTTTAGAGTGTGGAAGGGTGGGAAGCTCTGTCAGGTTTTTAATGTGGTTTATGACATATCTGAGATAATACATTGCAGAATACACAGTAATCAGGTAAAAGTGTGACTGCTGATATATTGTAGGTATTGTTGTTTTTCGGTAGTACCTTCTGGATCTTCAGGTTTCCGCACCTTCTCCCATTCTTCTTGTCTTTTCTTTCTTCTTTCCTCCAATTCAGATTCTGTCACAAATCTTTTGTTTATAACCAAATCCCCTTCACTGTCGGCCATATTTGAAGACTGCAAAATGCACCAAAATAAAAACATTATTATCAACATGGATTATGTGATCACTCCAAGAACAGAATTTATACTGAATTTTTTTATTCTTGCTACATTTAAAGAAGGACTCAAAGCATTCACCATGCAGGAAAATCTGACAGATCTGCCTCCTGATATCCTATCCACCCTCTCAGCAATATATCTTCACTCATCCCACCTCCCAGCAGGATATCCTCGCTCCACCCGACTCCCAGTAGGATATCCTCACTCATCCCACCTTTCTGCAGGATATCATCACTCATCTCGCCTCCCAGCAGGATATCCAAACTCCTCCCTCCTCCCTGCAGGATATCCTCACTCATCCCACCTCCAGGCAAAATATCCAAACTCATCCCACCTCCCAGCAGGATATCCTCACTCATCCCACCTCCAGGCAAAATATCCAAACTCCTCCCTCCTCCCTGCAGGATATCCTCACTCATCCCGCCTCCAGGCAAAATATCCTCACTCATCCCGCCTCCCAGCAGGATATCCTCACTTATCCCGCCTCCCAGCAGGATATCCAAACTCATCCCACCTCCCAGCAGGATATCCTCAGTCATCTTGCCTTTCTGCAGGATATCCTCATTCATCCCACCTCCCAGCAGGATATCCTCACTCATCCCGCCTTCCAGCAGGATATCCTCACTCATCCCGCCTTCCAGCAGGATATCCTCACTCATCCCACCTCCCAGCAGGATATCCTCAGTCATCTTGCCTTTCTGCAGGATATCCTCATTCATCCCGCCTCCCAGCAGGATATCCTCACTCATCCCGCCTTCCAGCAGGATATCCTCACTCATCCCTCCTCCCTGCAGGATATCCTCATTCATCCCACCTCCCTGAAGAATATCCTCATTTATCCCATCTCCCTGCAGGATATCCTCATTCCTCCCACCTCCCAGCAGGATATCCTCAGTCATCTTGCCTTTCTGCAGGATATCCTCATTCACCCCGCCTCCCAGCAGGATATCCTCACTCATCCCGCCTCCCAGCAGGATATCCTCACTCATCCCGCCTTCCAGCAGGATATCCTCACTCATCCCACCTCCCAGCAGGATATCCTCAGTCATCTTGCCTTTCTGCAGGATATCCTCATTCATCCCGCCTCCCAGCAGGATATCCTCACTCATCCCGCCTTCCAGCAGGATATCCTCACTCATCCCTCCTCCCTGCAGGATATCCTCATTCATCCCACCTCCCTGAAGGATATCCTCATTTATCCCATCTCCCTGCAGGATATCCTCATTCCTCCTGCCTCCCAGCAGGATATCCTCACTCATCCCGCCTCCCAGCAAAATATCCTCACTCATCCCGCCTCCAGGCAAAATATCCTCATGCATCCCACCTCCCAGCAGGATATCCTCACTCATCCCGCCTCCCGCCTCCCAGCAGGATATCCTTACTCATCCCCCTCCAGGCAAAATATCCTCACTCATCCAGCCTCCCAGCAGGATATCCTCACTCATCCAGCCTCCCAGCAGGATATCCTCACTCATCCAGCCTCCCAGCAGGATATCCTCACTCATCCAGCCTCCCAGCAGGATATCCTCACTCATCCCGCCTCCCAGCAGGATATCCAAACTCATCCCGCCTCCCAGCAGGATATCCTCACTCATCCCGCCTCCCAGCAGGATATCCTCACTCATCCCGCCTCCCAGCAGGATATCCTCACTCATCCCGCCTCCCAGCAGGATATCCTCACTCATCCCGCCTCCCAGCAGGATATCCTCACTCATCCCGCCTCCCAGCAGGATATCCTCACTCATCCCGCCTCCCAGCAGGATATCCTCACTCATCCTGCCTCCAGGCAAAATATCCCGAAGGCTGAGAGCAGTGAGAGTTGGGAGTCTCTTGGCAACGTCCTGAGAGTTTTCTAGTCAGTCTTCAGGCACAGTACATAAATGGCCTACACCTATGGCAAGAGCATTATCCAACTTCAATCAAAGCCGCACAGTTTGTCTTCATCTCCAAACGCCCCTTATCTAAATAGACAGCTTTGTTGGTAAAGATGGACCAACCCTTTCAGCCCCCCCCCCCCATCATACTGAGTGAGACTTGACATGCGATTTCCATGCCATGCGACTTGCAAATCACGTGCCAAGACGCAGCCAACGGTCCGCAATTACGGCAGTCATATCGGCGTGGTTCCAACTTGGTCGGAGCAGGACCGAATTCTAAAGCAGTACATGCACTACTGTTGGTGCGATTTGCATAGACGTCTGTGTCAGCTGTCCTGCAAGTCGCAAGTGAAATCGGCAGGTCACCCGACTTTGAAATCGTGCAACTTCACTGTAAGTCGCATGATTTCAAAGTCGGGCTTGATGTGCCCGGGGTGTAAGTGTCTATGCTGCATGGTACGGTGATGAATGACTGTGATCTCCCTACGGCTGGCCATACACTATACCAGTGATGGCGAACCCGTGGCACGCGTGCCACAGCCGGCACGCCGAGCCTTATCTGTGGGCACGCCTGGAGAATACCGTATTTTTTCGCTCCATAAGACGCACTTTTTTTCCTCCAAAAAAGGGGGGAAAATGTCAGTGCGTCTTATGGAGCGAATATAGAGCGGCCGGTCCGGTATTTCCACCGCCGCCGTGTCAGAATACCGGGCCGGCCGCTCAGCTCTGCAGTGGGACCTTACCTGTCCCTCTATCCAGCGGCGTGCTGTCTTCCCGGCTTCTGTAGTGTGCGTGACAGCTGGGTCCCAAGTGCGCATGCGCAAGAAGCAGTGCTCTTTGTGAATGGTAAAGGCGGTACCTGGGACACATGACAGATCCCAGAAGCCGCCGGACCAATCACAAGCGCTTCTCGCGCATGCGCACTGGGCATCCGGCTGTCCGACGAGCGCCCACACTACAGAAGCCGGGAAGACAGCGCGCGGCTGGATAAAGGAACAGGTAAGATAAAAAAAAAAACTCTGCGGAAGTAAGAGCGGGTACCTGTCAAATTCAGGTACCCGCTCCCCCCCCTCCCTCCCCAAAGGTCAGCAGTCATCTGTACTGTCCGCAGTCTCTGGTCATCCCTGTGCTTTCCGCAGTCTCTGGTCATCTCCTGTACTGTCCGCAGTCTCTGGTCATCCCTGTACTGTCCGCAGTCTCTGGTCATCCCTGTACTGTGTCCGCAGTCTCTGGTCATCCCTGTACTGTGTCCGCAGTCTCTGGTCATCCCTGTACTGTGTCTGCAGTCTCATCTGGTCATCCCTGTACTGTGTCTGCAGTCTCTGGTCATCTCCTGTACTATGTCCGCAGTCTCTGGTCATCTCCTGCACTGTGTCCGCAGTCGCAGTCTCTGGTCATCTCCTGTACTGTGTCCGCAGTCTCTGGTCATCCCTGTACTGTGTCCGCAGTCTCTGGTCATCCCTGTACTGTATCCGCAGTCTCTGGTCATCCCTGTACTGTGTCTGCAGTCTCTGGTCATGGTCATCCCTGTACTGTGTCTGCAGTCTCTGGTCATCCCTGTACTGTGTCTGCAGTCTCTGGTCATCCCTGTACTGTCTGCAGTCTCTGGTCATCCCTGTACTGTTAATTAGTTTGCACTACTGTACGAGTTGTTTTTTCTAAACCAAAAGCTCGATATTCAGGTTTCATTGCAGTGTTGGCACTTTGAAAGAAATAAGTTGGTTTTGGGTAGCAGTTTGGGCACTCGGGCTCAAAAAGGTTCGCCATCACTGCACTATACAATCTGATTGTACAACCTCCTACAATCCTATGAGGACAACCCCAAACCATCCGCTCAATTTGTATCCAATCAGGAGGGCACTTGTATTACATAGCTGTTGGCAGATCTAATGGGGATTGTCCAATCAGATTGTATGGTGTATGGCCACCCTAATAAAGGTAGGTCCCTGCTGCTGAGTGCCAGCTTCTACTAACCGTGGGTTGTCACAGAAGGGAATGATCTTCAGGTACTAAGTCTAAGCTGCACGGCAGCCTCCTGACCACACAGGGCCACTGCTTCAGCAGCAAAGTGTTCTGGGTAATTAGGACAACCTTGGCCAATGAGCACCCAGCCACAGCAGCTGCTGCCAACTAAAGAAAGTCAACCCACGTGGTAATTCTCACCCCTCTATAGAAGGCTTATTACCCCTCCTGTGTCCCCCCTCCCAGCAGTGCCCATCCTCAGCTTCCCGGGGTCACCCACCTCTCTCTGCCCAGCTCACTCTCCAGCACAGCCTCCTCCAGACCACAGCCAGCAGCCAACCAAACGCGGAGTGTCCCCCTCTACAAACCAATCAAAACGCCACTAGGCAACATCAGCGCTCCTACCATGGAGAGCCACTCCGGAAAGCCGGCCAATCAAAAAGCGCCTGACGAAAAGATGGCCGCTTCGGCTTCAAAGCTGTGTGAGACGCAGCTGAGGGGAAAAAAAGGGCCTGGGTGAGCATGCGCACAAGACTCAACTCACTTCCCGGGTCGTCGCTCTGGGATTGGTCTCGGCTTGAGCAGCAGAGAAGAGGGGAAGGAAATAGGAAGTGCGCGGAGCTGTGGGGGAGCCTAGTAACGGTAAGAGAAGGGGGCCCATAGGGGGCAATGTGGGGGTGACAGGAGGCTGGGGGGGGGGTGACGAGCTCCCCGGCAGCATGTCTGTGCCGTGCCCGTCATTGTGTGTCCGCTCTTTGTCTGCTATCTCCGCTCTACACCGGGCACAGGAGCTGCCATCTGCACACAATGACATCACGTGGGGGGATGGGGGGATTACATAAATATATATATATAATATAGTGTGACCGGAGACCATTGAGGATCCCAGGACAGCCATAGGCAATGCAGATCTGTCAGCATGGAGGGTGTCACTGGGCCCTCTGTACATTCTACACTGATCAGCCATAACATTATGACCACTGACAGCTACAGGGAATACTATTCATTATCTCATTACAATGACACCTGAAAGTGGGCGGGGTGTATTAGGCAGTCAGTGAACATGTTGTCCCTGAAGTTGATGTGTTGAAAGTAGTAGTAGTGCCC